TTTTTCCTCGATTTCGCGTCTTCCTTTACATTAATTTTAGGGGCCGTTGTTTTCTTGATCTTATTACATTTTTAAGTAAAAGAAGATCACTAGGTATTCAAGTGAGCTTCTTTCCATGAGCAATGCACCATCAAACATTGAAAAGCTAAGCAGCCAGTTCCTCTCAAAACGCTCGCAAAAGGGCGCATCGCTGATTGTCTGAGGTCTACCGAGTCCACGTTAGGAGCGCTCCGATTGGCCGAAATTGGTGGGCCGCGTGATTTCACAAACGTTAAATCGAAAATGCATTGTTGATGAAAACAAAGGGGACCCCGGTGGGAGGGCGAATCTCGTTAACAAACCTGTCAACCCATACGGTTTACCCCGTATTCTTGTACAGGGAAATTTAGTTTTCAGGCCCATACGGCGTTACAGCCCTTTCAATACGGGCACATTTTTTTCTATTTGTTTGTGTTTCTCCTTTGTGATGAGACTGTGTAGGATGAACGTTGAGATGTATAAGGGGCACGGGGTGACCAATAAGGTCTGAATTGGTCTCTAATAAGGTAGGGCACTGATAAGGGGTTGACAGGTATGCGTTAATCGAAATGTTGTTAATCGGTGGCATCGTAAACCAAGGGACTACTGAGTACATGCGACGCGTACATACAAACCCCCACGTGGGTAATGGGTGCACAAGCACCGTGAGAGAGGCGTGGGGATGTCTCGCAGACACTTTGTTTTTGTGCCTGGTTATTCACGACGTCCGTCTCGGCTGTAATGGCAAGCCTTTATTTTCGACCGTGCTTGCGTGTGACTTTGCAGATGGATCACTGTATGGGGGTGAAAGTTGTGCTCGTTCAACGCTGCGATGTTTTGACCCGGCGCTTCTCTTAAGCATATAACACAGACCTGTGCGCGATTAAAAGCTGTGTTATATTTTTTCTAAGAAGCTTAAGTATTTTCATACGTGTGTGCATTTAATATCAGGTAAACAAACACACCCACGGTATACGTAAATATATATAACGCACGGATAATAATTAAGTGATCCTGTGCTTTCAGTGGGTGCCAACGGTTATTTATTTTTTGGAACTTGGAAATCATTTGGCGGTGAATCGTGAGAAAATATGTTGACCCAATGTGTGCTGGAAGCCGCGCTGCGAGTGTGTGGTGAGGCTTAGGTCATAATGAAATAAGTTAATACCTGAGTGGGCTTTGCCTGGTGGGATGGGAAAGGTTTAGTTGTTGTGTTTGTACGTGTTTGATAGCATCTCCCGGCATTTTAGAATTGTCAGACGGCTGACCGCAGCACTACGGATTCATCGCTTGATGCACAAATTTGCGATTAGTATCCCGAAGGCCGCCCTAGTTATTATTATACCTGGTAGGATACATTTTTTTTAGTTTTATTTGTATATTTTTTGTGAGTGATTTGTTTACCTTTCTTGTACTTTGCACGACTATCGTGTTTGTGTCACTGTTTGTTATTGTGACGTTCTGACCCCAGGGTCGCTACTGGACATCTGTTGATAAAAGAGCTTTATAGCTCATCAGATTCCTCCTGCAGTGTAAATGCAAGATTCTGATATCGCAGCTTTCTGAACAACGTCTCAACATTCGCGGCTTTCTGCGCGAGTTTGGCTCAACCGCAGTCGGTATTCAAGCCAGCGTCGTAAATAATAATAATAGTTATACATTTAAATAAAATATTGTGACCAAGGATAAATATTTGCATTGCCATCTTTGGGAATCCAAACTGCAATCCATGTTTTGAACATTTATGGAAAATGTTTCTTAGACCCCCAGGTACAAATAATAAACTGTACCGCAGAGGATGCCGAAGGCCTCCCCCTACACTACAGTGTCAGTCATGGAGAGTGTTTCTCCGGACCCCACTTCATCCGTCGGTGTCAGCTTTGTGAAGAAAGGGTGAAGGGCACGACTCGTTTACGGCGTAATCGCGAGCTCGCCGTCATAGTTTCACGTTAAAAACTTAAACTCTTGAGTTGTCTTATCGAGCCGCCCGGGACACGTTGGGCGTCCGCGCGTGCGGCTCGTGAGCCAAGCGTTCTTTAGCCAACTCTGATTTATTGCGCGTCCCGTAAAGCCGGCAGCGCCAAAGCTGTGCGGATGATTCAATCGTTCCAAGCCGCCCGCTGATTTGGTTTAACCAAGGCGAGAGGCGCGAGAGACCACCAGGGACTGCAAAGCTCTAAAGGGCCTTGATCCTCAGTACCTGCAGTCACGTCTGGCTCCCCCAGACTGCGTCTTGCGCTCCTTAGGCCAGGCCCTGCGAGCTCAAGCGAGGATGTTTTCATTCTACGCTGGACGGTAGTAGGTAGGGGCCTTCTCGAGTGTGGCGGCTAAGAATTGGAACTCTCATTTTCCTTTTAGCTTTTCCTTGAGTATATCCTCTCTCATTTAGATATTGTTTTTTTATATGCGAGTGTCTTGATTTTATAGATTAGGGGCTACCTTCGTTTAAGTTATACTGTAAAGTATTGCGATGTCCTCTTTCGTGGGGGCGAGTCTTTACTCGAAAAACAAGTTGAATGAATGAAGAGTCTCATTTGCAAGAGCACCACTTGGAGTATTCGTCCGCCGGCATGCGGCAACGAATTTGCTGCCATGTAACAGTCCCTTAGTCGAGTAAATTTGCGGTGTCATTTTTCGGATTTGTTAAAAAATTAGGACCGTGACGCCGGCGCACGCAGTGAGTGGCCCACTCTCGCGAATGACGTCACGGTAAGGCATTATTTTAGTTTTTCCGATTATCACAGCCGAAGTGATTACCAGGGCAGCCTAGTGGATTTGAACCAGGGCAGCCTAGTGGATTCGAACTAGGGCGGCCGAGTGGATTCGAACTGTGCACCTATTTCAACAACACGTGGCGATCGCGCTGCCTCTGGGCCACGGCTTGAACAACAACAACTGCCATTCACCACTAAGTGCACATAGCCTGGCTTGTGCCAGGCTATATGCACTTTAAGGCCACGTGAAGTGTCGAATGCCCGCTGGCAGGAGGTCACGGGGCAGACCCAGGTGCCACGGGTCGACTGACTGAGATGACTGGCTGATGCACCACCTGTGTCCCGTACTGTGCCAACTTGCTGTGCTATAGCCACCCGGCGCTCCGCTCGTTATTGTGAGCGTCGATCCTCTGCCCTCCGTTGTAGTTGGAGGGCGACTGCCTCCAACTGCCCAGTAGCGTCCTTCACGAGCCTCCTCCACAGAGGCCGATCTTGACACCGCTGGTACCAGTCATCGGCAAGTCCACTCAGCTCCACATCCTCCTGTACCACATCACTCCATCTCTTCTCTAGCCCGTGCCGCGCCCATTTAGCCTCCTCGATCCGGCTGAACAAAATGTGTTTAGGCATGCGGTGTCTGGGCTTGCGGGCTACATGACCCAGCCAACGCAGCCTTGCCTGCCGGAGGAGCTCACCGATGGGACTTTGTCCAGATCTTTCAAGGATTTGTGAGCTCCTCACACAATCCAGCCTGGTTAAACCCAGGATGGATCGTAAGCAGGCCAGCCTAAATGTTTCCAAGGTCTTCTCGGCCACAGTCATTCCCTCCTAATGGAGCATCTTCGCCGGTTGGAAACACAGACACACACACAGACACACACACAGACACAGACACACACAGACACACACACAGACACACACACAGACACACACACAGACACAGACACACACACAGACACACACACAGACACACACACAGACACACACACAGACACACACACGCACACAGACACGCACACAGACACACACACAGACACACACACAGACACACACACAGACACACACACAGACACACACACAGACACACACACAGACACACACACAGACACACACACAGACACAGACACACACACAGACACACACACAGACACACACACAGACACACACACAGACACACACACGCGCCAAAAATGCAGCGATCCTATTTTTCAAACGAAGAGCAAGGAATGATGGAATAAATAATAATATAAGTCAAACTCTCACTCGTCACTTTAAATAAACATCATAATCAGATTTCCCCAAATGAGTACGTAGACGTAAATAATTAAATGCATTTAGATTTTCTTGCCAGCTGCACGAAAACCCCATGCGTGTTTGCTGCTGTTGTTGTTGTTGTGGTGGTGAGTGATGTCTGAACTGGGCCCTCGATCGATGTTCGATGATGATGAAGGTGATCGTAGTGATACTGCTGATGATAATGTTGTTGATAGTTTATGATTCTGCTGCTGTTGCTGCTGATGATGATTCATTATTGTTGCGTTTGTTTACCCAGGTAAAGCCTCACTCAGTCTCAAGAGTCTCTTTCAGGGTTTAAGCGTGTTGCCAAATTGTTGCAGTCGGGGAGGGGGCTGGGCGCGGGTGAAGGGGGCAGCATGTTGCTGCATAGATTCCGACCGAGTAATTTGCAGTAGGATTTTTAAAAATCAAACTTGGACCAAGACGCTGGCGCACGACGGGCCTCCTCTTGCGAACAACGTCGGGGGATCCGCAAGGTCCACTGTGCGCGAAGTAGATTGCGCGGACCACTGTTCCCGGGAAAATACACCCGCAGTAATGACCAGGGCAGCCTGCCGGATTCGAACCGCTAACCCGTGTGTACGTACGCACGTTGAACTTCTTTTCGCACCGTATGTAGCCAACCGTGCTCATCGGAGGTGCGGGGGGAGGACATCAAACTAAACACAAGCAGCAGTTCCATAACATTGGGTTCGCAATCCGGATGGTTTAAAAGCGCAACGAGTGGCAAGTGCGCCGCCTCTGGGCCGCGCCATGGCCCCGACTTTGATTTGTGCTGCTTCTTCTGCTGCTGCTGTTGATGATGCCGATGATGCTGTTGCTGCTTCTTTTTATTCTGCCGCTGCTGATGATGTTGATAATGCTGATAATGATGATTCTGCTGCTTCTGCTGCTGCTGATGATGCTTCTCCCGCTATTGCTGATGACGGCGTTCTGACGGCGACTATAAAACTCCGCGATGGGCATTTGCAGGGAGGGCAAGCCCCCAAGTGGCTGCACAGCACCTGCAGCCGGCTCCTCACCGACGCGATGCTCCGACCGCGCGGGGTGCTGGCGGTGGTGGGCGGCGTGATGGAGGGGGCCTGCGGTACGTTCGCCACCACCAACAACAACGACGACGACAACAGCCGCTGTTCGCGCCACTAAGTGGCGGTGACGTCACCACGGCGCTCGTGCCAGGCTAGGTGCACGTTGAGGCCACGTGAATTGTGGAACGCCCGCTGGCCGGGAGGTCACGGGACAGACCCTGCAGGTGCCGTGGGTCGACTGGCTGAGATGACTGAGATGACGTTCACTGCTCGCCCCCCACCCATTCACACGTGTGGCGCTTTTCCTCCGGGCGCTCTGGTTTCCTCCCACGTGTGAACGCTCATTAATTGGCCGAAAGCATCTTCATGTACAGCGGACCGCAGAGCTCGGGCAGTTTTTGGCGCTGGCTCGCCACACGGCTGCTGCCTTCCGGCACCTCCGAGTCGTTCTCACTCTCTCCGAGGGCAAGCGAAATCGGCAGAGGCGCAGCGTTGCAATTTGATGCTTATTATTATTATGAGTACGATGATGATGATGGTCGTGGTGGTGATCTACTTCAGCTTTGCACTGCCCGATCCGGCGACCTGGCCGTTACTTGCGTCGCGCTCGCTCACCTTGCCCTCGGTGCCGTCGCAGCAGCATCCGGGATGGCAGGCTGTGCGGATGCGGCGGCGGCGGACTGGCGGAATTGCGAAGCGGTCGCCCGAATCCTGGCGTCCTGCGGCGGCCGATCGTCCTCGCCGGAGGCGCACTACCGCATCGTGTGCCCACAGGTGAGACTACGCGTCCACGCCAGCGCCATCCTACCGAGGGATTTTTTTTCCTACTGAGAAAAACGAAAAAAAAAATAATGGGAGCGAACGCTTCGTCTCGGGGTTCAAAAATAAATAAATAAAGTGGCGGCCACTCGGCACTTTCGTCCAAACGATTTCTCGGGTCGGAGGTCGGAGGCCGCCGGTGCAACGAGCTTTTTTGTCGCCGCCAATTAGGGGGGTCGTCGTGACGCAGCTCCGGTAACGAGCGCGGGCAAGGGAATCGCTCGCACGTGGGCCAGCGGCGGCCGCGGGGACGCGGGGGGGGGCGGCCCGGGAGGCGGTTTTGTAAAAATGAGCGCTCCCGTGTGCGCGCGCACGAACGCGAGCGAGCGCGTGAATTCGTAACGGTTGAGTATTACCACATGCAGAGTGCACGGAAGAACCGTGGGCCTTGTGGCCTGCGATGGTCCGGGTCGGTTCGGAAATTTAAATCGTCGCAGGAGAGTTGCTCACCCTTCCATCGGTTTTGCCGTGGTTTTTTGTTGTTGCTTGTATGTTCCTGCGGCTACGCGTGCTTGAGTGAACACGTGTGTGTGTGCGTGCGTGTGTGCGTGTGTCTTTGTGCGTCATGCGCAAGTGTTCATACTTAATTAGCCGGGAGCGGTTGGCGCAATGTTTAGCACACATGGCCCCCCCACCCAGCCACCCTGAGTTCGATTCAAGTGCATTGTACGTCACACACGGGGCGAATCGAAGCCGCGTCGATTCTCACGCTCGCGGTGCGACGCTCGTACCTGGGGGGCTTAGGGAACCGATGCTAATTGACGGAGGTGGACATTTAGTCAAGACGCCTTGCAGGTGTGGGTAATAATGAGCGTGATCGTCAAGTGACTGTCTGCTTGGGCTTAGCATGCCAACCAATCAAAGCGCTGCAATGGAGATAGCGAGACGGTGGTCGGAGAAGAATGCTCGTACCAACTGGCGCAGGTGACTAATCGGCATTGATATTGGATCAATCGCTAGGAGAGTGAGCGGGACCCCTCCCCGCACAGCGGACGGACGGACAGACGGAGTGAATGGCATGGCCATGATGCTGGCACACGACGGACGGACCGAGTGAATGCGCAGAGACTCCCCACTCGCTTCAGAGAGATTTGCTCGTGAAATGCCGAACTCATTTGAACTTCACTCTTTAGTCCGCGCCGAGATGTCGGTGGTGCATCGGGTTTCATGCGCTCGTGTTCCTCGCCTAAACCTTACTTTCTAAAATTATAGATAATTACCGTTCCGAATGATACCCCATGCGTGCCACGTGGAAGGTTTTGTTGATTTATTTCGGCTTGGTTACCCAGGGGAGCCTCAGTGAGTCTCAAGACTTTTTTTAAGGAGGGTCCTGCCTTTCACAGTCGGTTTGCGATGCTGCTGCTGCAGTTTATGGTCCCAATTGAGTAATTGGCAGGCAATTATTGAGGACTGGGATGTTGTCTTGGCCCTTTACCAGAAAGGCGAGAACCCAGAGGAAACTTTACTCACTCACACCCTGCAGAACAGGGGGAGATCACACAAACTCTACTCACTCTCACCCTGCAGAACAGGGGGAGATCACACAAATTCTACTCACTCACACCCTGCAGAACAGGGGGAGATCATACAAACTCTACTCACTCACACCCTGCAGAACAGGGGGAGATCACACAAATTCTACTCACTCACACCCTGCAGAACAGGGGGAGATCATACAAACTCTACTCACTCACACCCTGCAGAACAGGGGGAGATCATACAAACTCTACTCACTCACCCTGCAGAACAGGGGGAGATCACACACACTCTACTCACTCACACCTTGCAGAACAAGGGGAGATCACACAAACTCTACTCACTCTCACCCTGCAGAACAGGGGGAGATCACACAAACTCTACACATTCTCACCCTGTAGAACGGGGGGAGAACACACAAACTCTACTCACTCACACCCTGCAGAACAGGGGGAGAACACACAAACTCTACTCACTCACACCCTGCAGAACGGGGGGAGAACACACAAACTCTACTTACTCACACCCTGCAAAACAAGGGGGAGAATACACAAACTCTAATCACTCACACCCTGCAGAACAGGGGGAGAACACACAAACTCTACTCACTCACACCCTGCAGAACAGGGTGGGGGTGGTGGGGTTTTAACGTGCTATTATATTCTTTCCCATGCTCGCAATGATTTCAGGCACTGAATGCCAATGTTGGGAACTGCTCGCCACGACGGGGTAAACCGGTGGACTCGGAGAAAAATCCATTCGGCCATGGGGAGAACACGCAAACTCCAAATATACAGCGGACGTCAGGGTCGGGATCGAACCTACGACCTCCAGCATACCGGGCGAGGGAGTTAACGTCTCCTAGCCACTGCGGTGGCCTGGCATGCCAACCATTTGGGCGCTGCGTTCGTGAAGAGAGGAATTGCCCGCACGCCTCCACGGGGGCGGGCAAACTTAGACGTGCGAGCCAATCGGGAGAGAGTTCATCCGTAATGGAGGTTTTTTCTGCTGGGTTAGATCTCGTAAATATATAAACGTTTAACACGTAGGCTTTCGTGACCAATATCCATAATCTGGCTGTCGCCTGATGAAGCTGGTTGTAATTACTGGCGGAACGTCGTACTCAGATTGTAAATGTTGTGGCTTGGCTCTCCAACACACAGGTGTGCTGTACTAGTATACTACACTACACACTACACTGTACACTACACTGTACACTACTATACCACTACACTACTATACACTATACACTACACTATACACTACACACTACACTACACACTGCTGTACTAGTGACGAATTGGCTACGTTCTGTTTACGTGACAAGCCTTACTAGTTGGCTGTGTCGGGTGGTGGCGGGTTTTACTGACACTTTTATATATTTACGCGATCTAACCCCCCAAAAACCTCTATTATGGAAAATATATAAACGTGTCGTTAAACCCGCCACCAATTAGTAAGCTTGTGTGTCACGTGCACAAAACGTGGCCACCGGTGTGTTGCTGTACTACAACATTTACTATCTGAGTGCGATTTTCTGGGGGGGCAGGTGGGTGGGGGGACATACAGTGGCCCACGCGGGGCTCGCCCGCCCGAGTCGGGAATCGCACCTTGTCCCTTGCCGCTTGGTGGAGCTGCCCACAGCGCCGCACGTTCCCCCGCGCCCTTCGGCGACGGCTGACCCCTCCGATTTAAATTGCTTCTCGACTCAGGTTGCCGCTGTCGTCGTCGTCGTGTTCACGTTCAGTGTCTGTTCCCCCAACAACCCTCTACCCCCCGCCGCCCTTCCCCCCCGCCCCGCCACTTTTACCTTGAAGCAACGGGCTTGTTAAACAACGTGGCGCTTGCCGGCGGGTATATTTGCGCGTCTGTGTGTGTGTGTACACGTGTGTCTGTGTGTGTGTGTGCGTGCATGTGGGGAGCGGTGGGGTAGCGGTCAGAACTACCGCTGCGCTACGAACCCAGTGACCTGGGTTCGATTCCCTCTCACGGCCAACACCAGTGACGATTATCTGAACCGGTGCTGGGCCTCCCCTAGGTCGACTCGGCCTTAAATGAGTACCTGGCGCGGTGGGTAAACATTGCCACTGGGGAGACGAAGGTGGCCGGGCGTGGTGCTGGCCACCCACCCCCTCGTGTGACGTTCCGGCCTTCGTAGGTGCTCGCTAACAGCACCTGCCCCAACCGTCCGTGAAGACGATGCGGGGGATCTTTGTGCGCGTGCGTTCACGTGCGTTCACGTGCGTTCACGTGTGTTCACGTGCGTTCACAGGTGCTGGAGCTGCTGCACATCGAGGACCGGCAGACGGCCCGACAGTTTCAGCGCGTCGCCACGGCGACGGCGGTCACCATGGCGAGGGAGCATCCGGCGCTCGCCCACCGCTACCTCTTGTCTCCGATGCTGGCGCCGTTGGCACGCTACACCTGCGCCGGTGAGCTTCGGGCCAGGACACAAACAAAAAAAATACAAAGATCCCCCACGTAGCCTGTAACAGTCTGCTGTTGGGGCAAGTGCCGCCATGAGCGAGTAGCGCCTGTGAAGGCCGGCACTGCACACGAGGGGGTGGGTGGGTGGCCAGCACCACGCTCGGCCGCCTTTGTCTCCCCATTGATGATGTTTACACATCGCACCGGGTACTGATTTGAGGCTGAGTCGACCGAGGGGAGGCCCAGGAGTGGTTCTGCTAATCGTCACCGGTGTTGGCCGTGAGCGGGAATCGAATTCGGATTGCCGGGTTCCTAGCGCTAACCGCTACACCACCGCTCCCCACACACAGACACACACACAGACACACACACAGACATACACACAGACACACACACAGACACACACAGACACACACAGACACAAGCAGACACACACACACACACAGACACACACACACACAGACACAGACACACACAGACACACACAGACACACAGACACACACACAGACACACACACAGACACACGCGCACACGCACAGACACACACACAGACATACACACAGACACACACAGACACACACACACAGACACACACACACACAGACACACACAGACACAGACACACAGACACAGACACACAGACACAGACACACACAGACACACACACACAGACACACAGACATACACACAGACAACAAAGACAAAGATCCCCCGTATAGCCTGAACAGACTGTAGGGGCAAGTGCTGTTAGCGAGCACCTATGAAGGCCGGAACGGTACACGAGGGGGTGGGTGGCCAGCACCACGCCCGACCGCCTTTGTCTCCCTAGTGGCGATGTTTACACACCACACCAGGTACTCATTTAAGGCTGAGTCGACCTAGGGGAGGCCCAGGACCGGTTCAGATAATCGTCACTGGTGTTAGCCGTGAGCGGGAATCGAACCCGGGTCGCCAGGTTCATAGCGCAGCGCGCTAACCGCTACACTACCGCTCCCCACCAGACACACACAGACACACACACACAGACACACAGACATACACACAGACACACACAGACACACACACACAGACACACACACACACAGACACACACAGACACAGACACACAGACACAGACACACAGACACAGACACACACAGACACACACACACAGACACACAGACATACACACAGACACACACAGACACACACACACACACGTGCATGAACTTGGTAAGTAAGCGTGCCGCGTGCTCCGTCGTCAGCGCGACTGCGGAGGGAGGCCGCTTCCCGCAGTTGTAGCGGTCACGGCGTCGAGATTTCCATCGGTGCGAGTTTCTTAAATTCTTCCCACTCCTCGCTAGAAAATGGGGGGCTCTTTATAGGGTGGGGGGCTTTAGTAGGTGGGGGGCTCTAGAAGGTGGGGGGCCTTCTCGAGCTCCGTCTGCTGGATGCTTCTCTGCCAGCAGTGGCCCGAGCGAGACAGCTGCAGCGCTGCACCTTCACCACTCGCTGCCGCCGTGCCGACGCCGCGGCTGCGGCAAAACGAGCCGGCGATTGACGTGCGGCGCGTGACATCGGCGGCGTGGAAATCGCGAGATCTGCGAGGTTGGGGGAGGGGTGGGGGGGGCTCTCGCGCGGGGGTCGAGCGTTTGGGGGGGTGGGGGGGGTGGGGGTGCGCGCGCCAAATCGGAGCGGGAAGATTTGCGCGCCCCCCAATCTGCTCCTCGTTGCCGAGCGCCGTGAGCTGCGGGCGAGCGAGCCTCTGATCGCGACCGCCAGCGCTCGGGAGTTTCCGTTCACATGTCACTCACCCCGGGAGAGCAGGCCGGGGTTTCGCGAGGCCACCGCGCGCGCGGTTTTTGTTTACCGCGTCCAAGCGGAGTAACTTGCCGCTCGCAACATTCGTCCAAGGGCGACCGGCGCGCCGCGCGGTGCCCCCGCGGGGTTACGGGCCGCACCTGCCCAGCTGTGCGACGAGTCAACGTCTTCTCGTTCATCTTTCCTCATTCGTGTGGGAACCGGGGGGGGGGGGGTCTGCTGCCTTCCTGCCGCTCCTTCTCCACTCACTCCTCTCCACGTCCACCCCACAGACCGTCATAGCCTTGCTCCCCCCCCCAATACTCCTCGTGTCTCCCTCCTCTTCCCCCTCCTCCTCTCCACTGTCTCTCCTCTTCTTTGCCATTTCTCCATTCACGTGGAGGTCTGCTGCCTTTTACTGCTCCTCTTCCTTCACTTTTCTCCTGGGCTATCATCTCCAATTCCACAGTTCTGCTCCCTCCCTCCCTGCCTTTGCAACCACCACAGTCCATTTCATAGACATATAAAGTCGTAGTATATAGTGTACGCTGTACGCTATACACTACACTAAACACTACATTGTACATTACGCCATACGCTACATTATACACTACACCATACACTATACCGTACACTACACTATACACAACACTCTACACGACACAATACACTACACCACTATACACTACACTATTATACACTACTGTATACTACACTACTCTGATGTACACTACTTGAGCATATTGGCACTACAAGACAGAGAGGAGAGAGTGGAAACAAATGACGGAATGTGCAGTGGACACTTACTTACTATGGGCTCTCTGCCCACGGATCATGGTGGTGGTGATGATGATGGATGTCCTGGTGCCAGGAAGCTGTCGGCTTTCCGGTTCAACCGGGATATGTAATTCGCAACTCAAGACAGGGCAATGCCATCGCTGCGCGTAGCTAAATGCGGCCAGAATGCGTTTTTCAATCAAGCAAATAAATAATGGCCGCCCGGCATCAGGCAAACGTCAGCCCGTGCATGGAAGTGAAGTTTACCGGTGTATATATATGTTCAACATACATACACCGATGTTGAGATTTCTTTCACGCCGTACGTAACCACACCGTGCTAATCCGAGGTGCGGGGAAAGGACGATAACAGTATACGGGGTGGCCCATGAGTCTGGAATCACGGGGAAGAATAACTAACTCGTGTTTATGTTGCTTCTGCAGGCCCAAGATGTCTCTGAGTAAGGAAGAACGAGTCCAGATAATTCTACTCGTGGGAAATTGTTGGAGTCAGTCGCTGTTGAATTTAACGGACTGCATCCAGACCGTGAGCCAATAACACAGAGCTGTGTTTTTCAACGGTTTTACTTAACTTTCGATAAAGTCACGTAGGTATAAAATACTGCTTTCCCACCTGATGATGGACGCTTGTGTTGCGCCAGAAACGTCGTGATTTATTAAAAAAATTTCCTACGTGACTTTACCGAAAGGACCAAAGAGTATGGATTCCCGCAGTCACGAAAGCTTCAAATCAAGATTTACTTCACTTGTTTCCTGTGATTCCAGATTCGCGGGACACCCCGTGTAGGCTGTCGTTGGGAAAAGCGTGAATGTTTTAACACGGAGGCTTTTGCGATCAATATTATCCATAGGAGGGTTTTTTTTGGTTCGATCGAAACAGTAGGAGGATTTCTCCCCAACTGTATAGCTGTCGCCTGATGACGCTGGTTGTAATTACCGGCGAAACGTCACGGCTACTCGAATTGTAAGTGCTGCAGCGGGTTTACTTTCCGACAGACAACTGGTGTGCTGAACCAGTAACGAATTTGCACGTTTTGTTTACGTGGCACAAGCCTTGCCAATTGGCTGTGTCGGTCGGGTGGTGGCGGGTTTAACGACACCAGATTTACATTTACGTGATCTAACTCAAAATAAAAACCCCATCTAATTATGGAAAGCCATGAACGTTTCGTTATTTTGGTTGCCGGCCTCTGTCCTGGGTGAACAGGCATGTGTGATTATAACAAAAATAATAACAATAATAATGCGCAGGACGCGGTTTATCCGCCCGCGTTATTTTTCGAGGGCACACCGAGCGGCCGCCGAATCTCTCCCGAAGGAGGCTCGCCGCAACCACCACCGACGCGTTCCTCCTTTCTCAAGCTGCGCCTTCTCTCCGTGCTCTGTGGCAGATGCCGTCGCGGCCGCGGCCGAGGTCGCGCCTGGCACTGGTGCTGCCCTGGTGGAGGAAGCCGAGCTGAGCCGCTGCGTGGAAGACATCAACAAGGTGACGGGAGGGGTTAGGATGCCAGCGGTCGCGAGTTCGGGTCGCGCATCGGGGTCGCGACCCCTATTCAAGGTTTTGTTCATTTGTAACGACGTCCGGTTTAGCCTTTGCAGTGTCGGTGCGTCAGCTCTTCCCGTCAGTCTCGAATAAACTAGTGACGAGTACTCGGCATACCCCATCCCTAATATACTTACTGACTGGTAGAGGCCTACCCCATCCCTCATCAACTAGTGACAAATACTAGACCTACCCCATCCCTAATCAACGAGTGACCACTACTTCACCCTACCCCATCCAGGATAAAATCTGCTTTATTTACAGCCCTATAGACAAATCATCGTTCAGCATTGTACACCTTTGATCGAAGGTTTGCTTGGATTGGCTCCAGAAAATTCTGCCACCCCCATTCCGTCACCCGCCCAGGTTGCCGTAATCGCTCGCGGTCAGTGCGTTGCCGGTGACGACTGCGCTGATTGTTTCCCCGAGTTCAATACGGCCTTCCCTGTATCGAAAATCGAAGGGTTTGTTGCCCAAACTCAGGCGATAAAAAAGAAATCCACGCGTTGAAAACGCGTAGACGCCGCGCGGCGTCATCATCGCCTCCCCGTGACGGCGTTGCATCTCGACGCTGACTCACGCCGGGCAATGGATAAAGGCGCGGCCCTGCAATTTCCAACTCGCCTCTTCAATGAGAAATATCTCAAAAACAATAAAAGATAGAACAATGGTTTTGTATGTGCTGTTTAACGCTCCATCAAACAAAAAGAAACACAATGTTATATTTTGAACGGTTTCTTAATGGCACCACGCACAAACATGTTTATGTGGCACTTAAAATCGACATTTGGGGGTTTTAAAATGAAAAATCTCTGTGTGCCAGATTATGGTCTTTATTTATATAGATCATTTATTATATTATATATAGAAACTTACACACGTGGTTTTCATTCAATCCTAGAGCAGTCCACTTGTCCACGGGGTTCGTCCGAGATAGGCTGTCCACGTCAATTGGCTACTCCGTGACGTCGCGTAGCAGGAGGCGATTCGCTTCTTTTCTCGGACCGTGACCATTTTCTCTGTGCCAGGCCTTGCGGGCCCTCGGGCTCGCCAATGGGAAGGTCGGCGACTTCAAAATCCTCACCTGGGGTTCGACTCCGGCCCATCTTTGCTCCCTCCCGAGGCGGATGATATGAACAGCATCGCTCTGCGGGGAGGTCAACGGCGGTCGTGTCCCGTGGACAGGCTCGCTCCTCCCCGACATGGGAATGTGGAATTTCCACCACTGGCTCGGCAGGGCTTGTAAACGGGGAACGGAGCACCAATCTCTCGTTGCTCACGCGAGAAGGACAATTACTTTGATGTTACCTATTCCCACGTAGTGGCGGGGGGTTACTTTCTCTCTCTGTCTCTCTGCAACAACGATGCATCACTGGCAATGCCATTGCAATGAACATGAATATAGGGATGCCTCTACGTACGAACATTCGACTTACGGACTTTGAGATATACGAACAAACGTATCCGTATGTCTAGTTGCCTGTTCGGACCGAGAGTCATAAGTTCAGCCGCCGCACAATAGATGGCGGTGGTGGCATCTACATCTGTAGAGAGTGAAGAACCAGTGGCATCTGCATAACATAAAGAACCAGTGGCATCTACATCTGAAGAACGTGAAGAACCAGTGGCATCTACATCTGAAGAACGTGAAGAACCAGTGGCATCTACATCTTACAGAACATGAAGAACCAGTGGCATCTACATCTGCAAAACGTGAAGAACCATTGGCATCTACATCTGAAGAACGTGAAGAACCAGTGGCATCTACATCTTACAGAACATGAAGAACCAGTGGCATCTACATCTTACAGAACATGAAGAACCAGTGGCATCTACATCTGCAAAACGTGAAGAACCAGTGGCATCTACATCTGCAGAACATGAAGAACCAGTGGCATCTACAACTGCAGAACATGAAGAACCAGTGGCATCTACATCTGCAGAACGTGAAGAACCAGTGGCATCTACATCTGCATAACATGAAGAACCAGTGGCATCTACATCTGCATAACATGAAGAACCAGTGGCATCTACATCTGCAGAACGTAAAGAAGCAGTGGCATCGACATCTGCAGAACACGAAGAACCAATGGGATCTATATTTGCAGAACGTGAAGAACCAGTGGCATCTACATCTGCAGAACGTGAAGAACCAGTGGCATCTAAATCTGCATAACATGAAGAACCAGTGGCATCTACATCTGCATAACATGAAAACCAGTGGAATCTGCATAACATGAAGAACCAGTGGAATCTGCGTAACATGAAGAACCAGTGGCATCTACATCTGTATAACATGAAGAACCAGTGGCATCTACATCTGAAGAACGTGAAGAACCAGTGGCATCTACATCTGAAGAACGTGAAGAACCAGTGGCATCTACATCTGCAGAACGTGAAGAACCAGTGGCATCTACATCTGCAAAACGTGAAGAACCAGTGGCATCTATATCTGCAAAACGTGAAGAACCAGTGACATCTACATCTGTAGAGAGTGAAGAACCAGTGGCATCTACATCTGCAAAACGTGAAGAACCAGTGGCATCTACATCTTACAGAACGTGAAGAACCAGTGGCATCTACATCTGCAGAGAGTGAAGAACCAGTGGCATCTACATCTGCAGCACATGGAGAACCAGCGGCATCTACATCTGCAAAACATGAAGAACTAGTGGCATCTGCATCTGTAGAGAGTGAAGAACCAGTGGCATCTACATCTGCAAAACGTGAAGAACCAGTGGCTTCTGCATCTGTAGAGATTGAAGAACCAGTGGCATCTACATCTGCAGAACGTGAAGAACCAGTGGCATCTACATCTGCAGCACATGAAGAACCAGTGGCATCTACATCTACAGGAGATTATACAACTTTTAAAGCCATGCCCCTTGTTTAGGGCACACGCCGTAAAATGCGTTTGGAAAGCGACGGGAATAAATTTGGACTTACGAACAAATCGACTTACGAACAGACATCTGCAACCCCCTAACTCGTTCGTAGGTAGAGGAGTACCTGCACTGTCGTGGTAGTGAGAGGAATGGGAGAGCAGACCGCGGGGACAGCCGATCCCCTCGCCAGATCCCCACTTGTGACTTGTGTCTTACCGCGTGGGTCTTTCAACGCCACAATTTTCAGTCTCACATATTCCTTTTTGCTTGCGAATTGCTGCGAGCCCTCCGTCGCGTGTCCGTCAGCTGCCCGCACTTGGCGTTGGCATCTGTAGCGTGGGTGTAACTATCATTTAGTGCAGATGTCCATATATTCGAACATTTCACGTATTTGGCTAGACCTGTGCTTAGAGTCTCCAGCGAGTCTGACATGCAATGTTGTAAATGTAGTTTTTTTTACAAAGACCTTGGTTTGCTTGGATGAATGGTTTTGATTTAAAATAAAGCTATATTTTTTTTTATTTCCTTGTTAAGACCTTGGCTGGTGACAGCTTGCGCGATCGTTTCCACCACCCGCCGAATCGAACACACGCGCCGGTTTCAGGCGTTGGAGGAACATAACGTCCTTCTGTTTTTTGGCCTGCCAGCTCTCGAAGGACTCGCAGCCAAAATGTTGATTCAATTTTCTCCGCTCTCGGATTCGTGCGGCGATCGGTAGGGTGGGGGGGGGGGGCGGCCGCCCCCTCCTGGAGAGGTCATCAGAGAACATCTTTACGGCCCCGGGGTGGTGACGCGGCGCTGTGCGAATCTGGCAGGCCGCCCCGGTTGATGATGCTGCTGCTGCGGTGGTGGTTGTGGTAGTGGTGCGGTTTACTCTCCGTACGAATGCTGCGGGCGGTCGTAAAAGATCCCGTGACACCGTTCGACACGAGTGCGGGCCGTTCTGTGTGCGCGTGCCGGCGTCGCGGTCCCAAGTCTGCCGCCTCGTGGCAAGAAGGGCCTGGGTTTGAGTCCCGATGCGGGCGCCGTTCTTTGGAGTTGTGCGTTGTTTCCCTCCCCTTGTTCGGGATGAGTTTGCTCCAGATTCTGTGGCTTCCTCCCATCATCGAGATAAAGACAAAGATCCCCCAGGATAGCCTTAACAGACTGTAGGAGCAAGTGCTGTTAGCGAGCACCTAGGAAGGCCGGCACGGCACACGAGGGGGTGGGTGGCCAGCACCAGGTACTGATTTGAGGGGAGGCCCAGGAGCGGTTCTGCTAATCGTCACCGGTGTTGGACATGAGCGGGAATCGAACTCGGATCGCCGCCGGGTTCCTAGAGCAGCGCGCTAGCTGCTACACTGCCGCTCTCTACTAAATCGCCATCACTGAACACACACATACATACAATATAATGGCTATGAGGCTGCTGCTGCTGCTGCGGTGGTGGTGATGGTAGTGGTGATGCGGTTACTCGCCGTTCGAATGCTGAAAGATCCCGCAACGTCATTCGACACGAGCGCGGGCCGTTTTGTGCGTCGCATGCCGGCGTCGCGGTCCCAAGTCTGCAAACGCTCGCGCCGCCTCGTGGAAAGAAGGACCTGGGTTCGAGTCCTGATGGGGGCGCCTCTCTTTAGCATTATGCGTTCCCCCTCCCCCCTGTTCTGCATGGGTGAGTTTGCTACAGATTTCTTGGCTTTCCTCGCATCGCTAAACACACGCACACGCAATGTAACGGGTATTAGACTAACATCCCGATGCCGAAATATGACCTGCAAATTACTCTTAATTGCGATTACACACAGCAACAAGATCGCCCCCAACGGTATATGTTGGCTACACAGGGGATCTTTGTCTTTGTGTGTCCTAGTGTGTGTGTGTGTCACTTTGTGTGTCGATGTGTGTATCACTGTGTGTGTGCATGGGGAGGAGCGGCAGTGTAGCGGTTAGCGTGCAGTGACCCGAGTTCGATTCCCGCTCACGGCCAACACCAGTGACGATTACCTGAACCGGTCCTGGACCTCCCCTAGGTCGACTCAGCCTGAAATGAGTACCTGCTGCAGTGTTTAAACATCGCCACTGGGGAGACGAATGCGGCCGGGCGTGGTGTTGGCCACCCACCCCCTCGTGTACCGTGCCGGCCTTCATAGGCGCTCGCGAATAGCACTTGCAGCGGTGTGTTGAGGCTTCGCGGGGGGGGGGTCGGGGTGTGGGTGTCATCGTGCGCGTGCCTCCCCTGTGGCAGGTGGTCGTGGCGTGCGGCTCCGAGCCTCCCCCGGTGGTGGTGCTGAGCGCCCTCGAGTCCGTGCTGCAGCCCCTCTTCCTCCTCTGCTGCTTCGCCAAGCGCGGAGTCTCCCACCTGCGGTCAGCTGCAGCTGTTTGTTGTTGTTGTGACGACTGGTACGACTACCGCGGTTCAACCCCGGTTGGCCGGACTGATTCGGCGGGGAGGATGCCCCGGGTCCCGCGTGAAAAGTCTCCGGCCGGCTTAGGGGTCTGCAAACAAAAATAAGAGGAATAGTCATCTTTTTTTCGGTTTCGGTAATGCAACAAGAAAAATACCGCAATATTTCAAAATTTCACCGAATCCACTGTGCGGCGAATACGAGGCAGTGGCGGTCCTGAATGAATATCGATCACGGAGCAGTTCCATGAAGAGCCGCATTTGGCTACAGGGCAGCAAGGCTACCGGCCCCTGGGCTAGCTGCTAAAATTAATGAAAACGTTTATTTTTTGCAGTGTACCCTGTAAGCCAAAGGGCACTTCACGTATGTACGGGATTCTGTGTTGTGTACAGTCTAAGAGTACGGGTGGGTTTGGTGCATTTTGCACCACATTGCCCCATCACCCTCCCCTCCAACTCCCATCACCCTCCCCTCCAACTCCCATCACCCTCCCCTCCAACTCCCATCACCCTCCCCTCCAACTCCCATCACCCTCCCCTCCAACTCGCATCACCCTCCCCTCCAACTCCCATCACCCTCCCCTCCGTCCCCCATCACCCTCCCCTCCATCCCCCATCACCCTCCCCTCCAACTCCCATCACCCTCCCCTCCGTCCCCCATCACCCTCCCCTCCAACTCCCATCACCCTCCCCTCCGTCCCCCATCACCCTCCCCTCCATCCCCCATCACCCTCCCCTTCAACTCCCATCACCCTCCCCTTCAACTCCCATCACCCTCCCCTCCGTCCCCCATCACCCTCCCCTCCAACTCCCATCACCCTCCCCTCCAACTCCCATCACCCTCCCCTCCATCCCCCATCACCCTCCCCTCCAACTCCCATCACCCTCCCCTCCAACTCCCATCACCCTCCCCTCCAACCCCCATCACCCTCCCCTCCAACTCCCATCACCCTCCCCTCCAACTCCCATCACCCTCCCCTCCAACCCCCATCACCCCCCCCTCCAACCCCCATCCCCCTCCCCTCCAACCCCCATCACCCTCCCCTCCAACCCCCATCACCCTCCCCTCCATCCCCCATCACCCTCCCCTCCAGCCCCCATCACCCTCCCCTCCAACTCCCATCACCCTCCCCTCCAACTCCCATCACCCTCCCCTTCAACTCCCATCACCCTCCCCTCCAACTCCCATCACCCTCCCCTCCAACTCCCATCACCCTCCCCTCCGTCCCCCATCACCCTCCCCTCCATCCCCCATCACCCTCCCCTCCAACGCCCATCACCCTCCCCTCCGTCCCCCATCACCCTCCCCTCCATCCCCCATCACCCTCCCCTTCAACTCCCATCACCCTCCCCTCCGTCCCCCATCACCCTCCCCTCCAACTCCCATCACCCTCCCCTCCAACTCCCATCACCCTCCCCTCCATCCCCCATCACCCTCCCCTCCAACTCCCATCACCCTCCCCTCCAACTCCCATCACCCTCCCCTCCAACCCCCATCACCCTCCCCTCCAACTCCCATCACCCTCCCCTCCAACTCCCATCACCCTCCCCTCCAACCCCCATCACCCTCCCCTCCAACTCCCATCACCCTCCCCTCCATCCCCCATCACCCTCCCCTCCATCCCCCATCACCCTCCCCTCCAACTCCCATCACCCTCCCCTCCAACTCCCATCACCCTCCCCTTCAACTCCCATCACCCTCCCCTTCAACTCCCATCACCCTCCCCTCCAACTCCCATCACCCTCCCCTCCATCCCCCATCACCCTCCCCCTCCGTCCCCCATCACCCTCCCCTCCAACTCCCATCACCCTCCCCTCCAACTCCCATCACCCTCCCCTCCATCCCCCATCACCCTCCCCTTCAACTCCCATCACCCTCCCCTTCAACTCCCATCACCCTCCCCTCCATCCCCCATCACCCTCCCCTCCAACTCCCATCACCCTCCCCTCCAACTCCCATCACCCTCCCCTCCAACTCCCATCACCCTCCCCTCCATCCCCCATCACCCTCCCCTCCAACTCCCATCACCCTCCCCTCCAACTCCCATCACCCTCCCCTCCAACTCCCATCACCCTCCCCTCCAACTCCCATCACCCTCCCCTCCATCCCCCATCACCCTCCCCTCCAACTCCCATCACCCTCCCCTCCAACTCCCATCACCCTCCCCTCCAACTCCCATCACCCTCCCCTCCAACTCCCATCACCCTCCCCTCCAACTCCCATCACCCTCCCCTCCATCCCCCATCACCCTCCCCTCCAACTCCCATCACCCTCCCCTCCAACTCCCATCACCCTCCCCTCCAACTCCCATCACCCTCCCCTCCAACTCCCATCACCCTCCCCTCCATCCCCCATCACCCTCCCCTCCAGCCCCCATCACCCTCCCCTCCAACTCCCATCACCCTCCCCTCCAACTCCCATCACCCTCCCCTCCAACTCCCATCACCCTCCCCTCCATCCCCCATCACCCTCCACTCCAACTCCCATCACCCTCCCCTCCATCCCCCATCACCCTCCCCTTCAACTCCCATCACCCTCCCCTCCATCCCCCATCACCCTCCCCTCCATCTCCCATCACCCTCCCCTCCAACTCCCATCACCCTCCCCTCCATCCCCATCACCCTCCCCTTCAACTCCCATCACCCTCCCCTCCAACCCCCATCACCCTCCCCTCCATCCCCCATCACCCTCCCCTCCAACTCCCATCACCCTCCCCTCCATCCCCCATCACCCTCCCCTTCAACTCCCATCACCCTCCCCTCCATCCCCCATCACCCTCCCCTTCAACTCCCATCACCCTCCCCTCCATCCCCCATCACCCTCCCCTCCAACTCCCATCACCCTCCACTCCAACTCCCATCACCCTCCCCTCCAACCCCCATCACCCTCCCCTCCATCCCCCATCACCCTCCCCTTCAACTCCCATCACCCTCCCCTCCATCCCCCATCACCCTCCCCTTCAACTCCCATCACCCTCCCCTCCATCCCCCATCACCCTCCCCTCCATCCCCCATCACCCTCCCCTCCATCCCCCATCACCCTCCCCTCCAACTCCCATCACCCTCCCCTCCAACTCCCATCACCCTCCCCTCCACTCCCATCACCCTCCACTCCAACTCCCATCACCCTCCCCTCCATCCCCCATCACCCTCCCCTCCAACTCCCATCACCCTCCACTCCAACTCCCATCACCCTCCCCTCCATCCCCCATCACCCTCCCCTCCATCCCCCATCACCCTCCCCTCCAACTCCCATCACCCTCCCCTCCAACTCCCATCACCCTCCCCTCCATCCCCCATCACCCTCCCCTCCAACTCCCATCACCCTCCCCTCCAACTCCCATCACCCTCCCCTCCAACTCCCATCACCCTCCCCTCCAACTCCCATCACCCTCCCCTCCATCCCCCATCACCCTCCCCTCCAACTCCCATCACCCTCCCCTCCAACTCCCATCACCCTCCCCTTCAACTCCCATCACCCTCCCCTCCAACTCCCATCACCCTCCCCTCCAACTCCCATCACCCTCCCCTCCAACTCCCATCACCCTCCCCTCCAACTCCCATCACCCTCCCCTCCATCCCCCATCACCCTCCCCTCCAACTCCCATCACCCTCCCCTTCAGCTCCCATCACCCTCCCTTCCACTCCCATCACCCTCCCCTCCAACTCCCATCACCCTCCCCTCCATCCCCCATCACCCTCCCCTCCATCCCCCATCACCCTCCCCTCCAACTCCCATCACCCTCCCCTCCATCCCCCATCACCCTCCCCTCCAACTCCCCATCACCCTCCCCCTCCAACTCCCATCACCCTCCCCTCCAACTCCCATCACCCTCCCCTCCAACTCCCATCACCCTCCCCTCCAACTCCCATCACCCTCCCCTTCAACTCCCATCACCCTCCCCTCCGTCCCCCATCACCCTCCCCTCCAACTCCCATCACCCTCCCCTCCGTCCCCCATCACCCTCCCCTCCAACTCCCATCACCCTCCCCTCCAACTCCCATCACCCTCCCCTCCAACTCCCATCACCCTCTTCTCCAACTCCCATCACCCTCCCCTTCAACTCCCATCACCCTCCCCTCCATCCCCCATCACCCTCCCCTCCATCCCCCATCACCCTCCCCTCCAACTCCCATCACCCTCCCCTCCAACTCCCATCACCCTCCCCTCCAACTCCCATCACCCTCCCCTCCGTCCCCCATCACCCTCCCCTCCATCCCCCATCACCCTCCCCTCCATCCCCCATCACCCTCCCCTCCAACTCCCATCACCCTCCCCTCCAACTCCCATCACCCTCCCCTCCAACTCCCATCACCCTCCCCTCCAACTCCCATCACCCTCCCCTCCAACTCCCATCACCCTCCCCTCCATCCCCCATCACCCCTCACCTCCACCCCCCTGCACATCCATATCCACAGCCATCCCTCGCCAACCACGGGTTTTCCATATCGCTCTCTTGCGTGCCCACGCGCGGCGCTGCGTGCACCATTATGCCGACCGTGGCGCTCGGCTCTTGCGCGACCGCGGTCCGCCACGGGGAGAGCGACTCAACGCCGGCGGTGAGGCGGCGTGGTAAGAATTATAATGCCGCAAGCTGCCATCGCGAACATTAAGGGGGGGGGGGGTCCCGTCGAAGCGGTCAACTCTGAATGCCCAGCTGCGGGGGAGGGACACATTGGGAAGGAGGCGGTCGGTGACTACCAAAGATATTCCCCACAGTCGATAGCGTCTCTCCTCCCATCTCTATTGCCAGTTCTGAGGAGCGGGGACAGCCCCTCCTCATCCCTTTAACCAACCCCCCTTCCCTTTCACCTGACATCGCCATCATCATCGTCACTGTCATCGTTATCTGCACTTTACCATCAATATCAAAGGTAATTCAACGTTTGTTGGTTCACTGTTACCCTAAAGGTATATTTGTTCGTACATGTTATCCAGGACCGTACATATTTCTCGTGTTTACTGAACGCGTAGGGTGCTGAGTTCGCCTTGGAAGAGAATGTTAACCACGGCCACGGAACCTAACCCCCCATCTCCCGTAAGCCTCTCGGCTTGCCAACCACAGCGGCTTTCCGGAACCTAACCCCCCCTTTCTCTCTCTCCAGCGTACGGCAAGTATGTGCAAATCACACATCCAAGTTTAAGTCTGTAATCCATACGATAGCTTCGGGAGTAGTGCGACTAATACTGCCGCCGGAGAGCCTCGATCTGCCATGAGCCTCTAGTCTTGCCAACCACGGTTGTGCCGACCAACGGGATTTTCAGGAACCTAACCCCCTGCGGGTTGGCAAGGGATCGCCGTACATGATCATCAGCAGCAGCAGCAGCACTTTATCATCAAAATCATCAGCGGCGGCGGCAGAAGCGTGGGGTGAAACGTTCCACTCGTGTCTCTGGGGGGGCCTCTAATCAACAACAAAACGTTAAATTGTGACACCCCCCCCCCCGGATCAAATCGGCCGTTTTCTTTTCAGCGTCGTCTCTTTCCGACTCTTTAATTATTTTATTTTCCGGTTGCGCGTGCGCCTCGCAAGCTCGGGGAAGAGACCCGTCCCCCGCAGCGACAGCTGGTGGCGATTAATAGCGCCCGCGCGCTGCACCGCGTGCACCGTGCTTTGATAACCGCTGCTAATTTTCAGCGCCCTTTGAAGTGCTGTAACGGATGCGGTGAGCGCCCCTCTACTGCCCCCACACCCACCACCCCAAAGACAAAGATCCCCCCGTGTAGCCTTAACAGACTCTTGGGGCAAGTGCTGTTAGCGAGCAGCACCTACGATGGCCGGCACGGCGCACCGTGGGGGGATAGGCGGCCAACACCACGCCCGGCCGCCTTTGTCCCCCCAGTGGTGACATTTACACACCGCGCCAGGGAAGGCCCAGGACCGGCTCCGATATTCGTCGCCGGTGTTGGCCGCGAGCGGGAATAGAACCCGGCTCCCCGGGTTCGCAGCGCAGCGTGGCGCTGGCCGCCACCGCTACCGCAACCCCAGCGACCGTCCCCCGCCCTTCCCCGAGGCTCCCGCCGATCGTTTCCTGCTCTTGGTCATCGCGCCGCCATCTAGCGAGCGCCGACGCAGCCCCGCATTGTTAAAGGGATGATGACGCAAGCCGAGCGTTGGGGGGCGGGGTGGGTGCTCCCGATCCGCGGTTCGCGATGTTCGTCACGACGTCCGACGTTTCGCCCTGCGCGTGCTTGGGCGCGTCGACGAGGAACTGAACGTTCGAGGTGGTCGCAGAACACCGCGCTGCACGACAAGCGGGGGTGGGGGGGGGATCGGCTCATGACGCAAGGGGAGCCTGCTCTCTGTGTGCGCGTCTGTAGAGTTTGTGTGTTCTCTCTTTCCCGCTGATCTGCAAGGGTTTCCCCCGGGTTTTCCAGTTTCCTCCCACAGAAGTCGTCTTCTTCTTTCGTACGACTGATGATGCAGATGCAGAGCAATAATTTAAAATGTCACATTCTAAACTATTAATAAACTATTTTTGTTTTACCAGGTAGGCCCACTGAGCCCTTTATAGCTATTTTTCAGAAGCCACCTGATCACAAATGATATCCCAATGAGAAGCAACTTATCACGTGGAAATATATCGCAGGCAAATACTCTGAACGTGTGTTGATTCTAAATGTGGAGGGCAAAACCGGAGGACCCAGAGAAAAATCCATGCGACCACGGGGAGAGAGACACGCAGACTCCAAATATACAGCAGCAGGTGTCAAGGTCGGGATTGATCCCACGACCTCCTGTATACCAGGTGAGGTAGTTAACATCTCCTAGCCATCATGATGATGACGAGAGAGAGAAACACGCAGACTTCAAATACACAGCAGGCATCAGGGTCGGGATAGAACCCACGACCCCCTGTATACCAGGCGAGGTAGTTAACATCTCCTAGCCACCGTGGTGATGATGAGAGAGACACGCAGACTCCAAATATACAGCAGGTGTCAGGGTCGGGATCGAACCCACGACCTCCTGTATACCAGGCGAGGTAATTAACATATAGCCACCGTGGTGATGATGAGAGAGACACACAAACTCCACATACACAGCAGGCGTCAGGGTCGGGATCAGACCCACGACTTCCTGTATACCAGGCGAGGTAGTTAACATCAAGCCAGATAACCGCGTCAGGAGCCGCGGAGTGTATCCCTTTGATGTCTCCTTCGTGTTGGTGGATCGGGCACTGCGTCCTCATACGTTGTGCGGTCTGTTCTGGATGACCAAAATCGCATCAGGTGTCATCCGCATCTACTGCTGTGGTTTGTGCAGTGGACTCGATTTAGGCTGGACCGTGAGCTTCGTGGACGATGGAAGCCGGGGCATCTCCTGTGTTGCGTCTTTCACAGCGCACAGTGTAACTGGTGATCCATAATTTTTTTTAGGTTCAGCCACATGGTGGTAGTGTTATGCCAAAATATCCGCATCATTAACCAACAAACGGGGAGACTGCTTCACAGTTTTGGCGATCGCCTGATGAAGCCGGTTGTAATCGCCAGCGAGAGACGACTTTAACTCAAATCGTAAATGCGTCGTGGGTTTGCGCCCCAACGCACGGCCGGTGGCGCTGAAGTTGCCACTAATTGTCACCCACGAAAAACTTTATGATGAATTATATTGGTCTCAAGACTACGTGTTCTCCCGTTTACACGGGTAATATTATTATTGCTTGTACATGGCCCATGTATGGATCAGATTGTGATCGATGAAGCTGCAGCTGCTGCTGCTGCTGCTCACCAGTGATGGCTCGAGACTTCTCGCGACTGAATTGTATCTACATTGAACTTCTTTTGCACCGTACGCAGCCAACTTTGCTAATCGGAGGTGCGGGGGAAGGACAACAAACTAAACACGACAACAAGCAGTTCTCAAGAAGTTAAGTTTGTCAATATCGATAATGAAGTGCATAGCTCCAGTGGCTTCCTAACATCGGGAAGCAAGAGCGTTCCAGACGGCCGCGGAAGCGCATCCGAAAGCGCCGCGCGACGATGCGGTGACCACCGTCTTTGTTCGACGGCCGAGCCAAAAGCCGCCGCCGTCGCCGCCGCTGCTGCTGCGAGGATGACGACCGGAGTTCGCGCGACGATGGTTTGCGCTCCTTGACGACATCGGCCGCGGTATTGCGGCTCGTTTGCGGCAAGCGCCTTTGCGCGTCACGAGTGTGACCTCGTCACGACGCTCTCCGTTCGGCAAACCGCAAGCCGATGCAGCTGTCGGCGAGCGCCGGACGGGCACGGTGCCGGACCTTGCAGCGCCCCGTCGCGGTGACAACGTGCCGCAGAGATTTTCTACAATGCGCGCTGCAGCATCGACGCGCGATGGCGAATTCGTTCCCGGATGGCTCCCCGAGGATGTCCGACGGGCCGCCAACTCGGGGGGCTGTGAGGGGGGCCCAAGCGGGGACTGAACGTGGATTTCTCGCCGTCTCAATTTCCGAGCTTCCGTCTGTTGGCGCGTTGGCTCAGCGCGTCTGCGCGCACCGCTGGGCGTAAGCGCCCTTGTCAGACGTGTGAGCGTCACGTTGGGTGGTGGGGGGCTCACGGAAAAAAATCGGCGTTGAACCATTCCCGGCCCCCGCAGACCTTTTGCATAGGCTACGGAAACCCACACCGAAATGTTTAGGTAGCCGGTATCGGCCAAACATCGCAATGTTTGAAAGTAGTAGTTCTTTGCTCTTAAGAAAATTCGCTGTTATGCATTTTCCGTGTTATATATATATTTTTTTTCTTCTTCAGATGCTTTGTTCTTGACGAATGTGTCATGTTTTTATCTTTTGCTGCGTGCACTCCACACCCATACTTCACCGTGCGCGTGTGCGCGTGTGCGTGTGTGCGTGTGTGCGTGCGTGTGTGTGTGCGTGCGTGTGTGCGTGCGTGCGTGTGTGCGTGTGTGCGTGCGTGCGTGCGTGCGTGTGTGCGTGCGTGCGTGTGTGTGTGCGTGCGTGTGTGCGTGCGTGTGTGCGTGCGTGTGTGCGTGCGTGTGTGTGTCGTGGGGAGCGCTACGAACCCAGCGACCCGAGTTCAGTTCCCGCTCACGGCGAACACCGGTGATGAGTTTCTGAACCAGTCCTGGGCCCCACCTAGGTCGACTCAGCCTCAAATGAGTACCTGGTATTGTGTGTAAACATCGCCACTGGGGAGACAAAGACGGTCGGGCGTGGTGCTGGCCACCCACCCCCTCGTGTGCCGTGCCGGTCTTCATCGGCGCTGCTACTCGTTAACAGCACTTGCCCCAGCAGTCTGTTAAGGCTCCACGGGGTGGGTAATCTTTGTCTTTGTTGTTGGCCAGGTCTCCGTGCCAGGAGACGCTGCTGTGGTTTGTGGAGCACGCCGAGCGGGAGCGGGCGGTGCGTGCCGTGGGCTGGCTGGCGGGGCTGCCCACTCGCCCGCCGATGCCGCCGACGACGCTGCCGACGATGCCGCGCTCGCTGCACTTTGCCCCCGGTGCCCACGGAGGAGCCGTCGCCCGGATCCGCATGTGAGCACACTCAATTAGTTGGCCGATAATGCCACAATTACATAGGGGACCGCAGAGCTTGGGAAATAGTTTGTGCCGGCTTCATGCTAGGTTGCTGCCTTCCCCGCTCGTGTGTGGTTCCTCCTCCTGGCGCCTCCGAGTCGTCCCCTCTCTGTCTCTCTGCCTCTCCACGAGAGCGGTGCCGTGCAAGTTCACGTTACTGATTACGCTGCGACGCGTTAAACGTGACCGTATCTCACGCGAGCATTGATGCGTTGGCGCTCATCGCCTCTTGAAGCCCTGCTGAGCCAGTGGTGTAAATTTCACATTCCTATGGCAGGGGTGAGTCTGCCCATTAGACAACAACTGTAGACTTGTTGAAAAAGTGGTACTTATTTTATCGATTCCAGAAGGATGATGGGCAACCACCAACTGGAAGGATGATGGGCAACTCTCAACCAACCCACCCCCAACCAGAGTGAACCCCCCCTCCCCCCCAAACCAGTAATTGAACTTTCGGTTTGCGAGCCGTTCGCTCTACCCACTGAGCCACCTGGCCTGCATGCTCTGTGGGGCAATGTTTACGCACAGACTCCGGATAGGAGGATTCCTCGCCAATCGACCCGGGATGCGGATGACAAGGCCGCGGGATCAGCGCGGGGTGTGCCCGCAGATTGTCGCTGAGCGGCTGTGTGTGCCCACAGGGCGGGCGACGAGGACGAGGCTGCGTGCGGCGCGCTGGAGGAGGAGGCGTGGCGGCTGACGTGCCTCACCGAGCTCCTCGCCGCTGCTCAGCTCTCCGGCTTTGCCGGCGACTTCTTCCTCTCCTGCCTGAAGGTTTGCGGATGAGATATATTTTGCCTGCGCCTGTTGGCGAACGACTTCTCGCGATGAAACGATTTCTCCGCATGACTCATCGGATCATTTAGTCAGATGGCACAACGTGGCCTAACCCGAAAGTCGGTTTTGAGAATTGCGATGCACGATCCAGAAGTGGCGGTTTATTTATTTACATCAAGTTTTCTATTTATTTATTCGGACCGTGGCACCGGCACGCAGCGGGCCTGCCCGTTCGAATGACAGTGTCAGGTTGTAACGCGCCGAGCGGTTCTACGCTCACCGATCTCGTCGAGTGAGAGGGAGCGAGCGACTCGAAGGGGCGAGGAGGAACCACAGACGTGCGGGAAGGCAGCAGCCAGATGACAACAACCGCCCAAGCTCTGCGGTCCTCTATATATGAGGGTGTCGTCGGCCAATGAATGAGTGGTTTGCACACGGGAGGAAACCGGAGCACCCCGGAGGAAATAAATCGCACGCACGCGAAGGTGTGTGTGGGGGGGGGGGGGGTGGAAACAACCTCAATCCCACACGGCCGGAGTCCACGTTGTCCACTGTACCGCCATCTCCTGGCGAGCGAGGGGTACGGGCGTTTCGCAACATCCACGCGCAATCCACTAACCCTCGCTGGATCGCGGCGCGTAGGCCACCAATGCTCGCCCGCCGGCGAGGCGGACGAAGCGTGGCTTGCTCGTCGTAGTCGTTGCGCCATTAACGGCACCCGGCCGTTGGGCGGGCGGGCGGCCGTGCTCGCTGCTCGCGAAACCTGGGCCAGCCGCGAGCACGGAGGTCCCACTCAAGGCTCCGCGGGCCCAGCGCTCGTGTTATTACCGTATCCACAGCAACTGCGGCCGTGCAGATGAACAGATGTGCGGCGAATAAACGGTCATCTGGGTTCCATTTGTGAATTCGGGTGAGCGGTGGGGGGGGGGGGGGGGCACGGGGGAGGGGGGAGAGATGCACCGCGCTCAGAGCACGTGATTTGCTGCTGCTGCTGCTGTCACGTGACAGTGGGGAAGCACGGATGGCAGCGCAGCGGTAATGCTCGTGCCTCAAAGAGACGAGGCTCTGGGTTCAACTCCCTACTCGGGTGCCTTTGTGCACGGAGTCTGCGTGTTTCCCCCCCTCTCTCTCTCCTTCCCGTTCCGCGTGTCTTTGTCTTTCTACCGTGGTAATGTGGCGTTCGACCAGGAGACGTGCACAAGTACAAATTGTGCGCGACGATGCGTTGATATTCTCGTGCACTTCGTCAAGAGTTCAGAGGCCCGGGCCAAGTTGTCGTGAACCCGGTTCGAGTGAACGCCTCCATCGAGCGAGAACTCTCTTCTGTCTTCGTGAGTGGTTCCTCACCAACGTGATGAGACAAAGATGATGGTTCCCCCCCGTGTAGCCTTCCGCAGACCGTTGGGGCGAGTACCTATGGAGGCCGTTACGGGGCACTGTGGGGGTGGTGTGGACGGCACCACGTCTGGCCCCCTTTGTCTCTCCCCATTGCAGCGGTTCTGACATCACTTGCCACTAGTGTTGGTTGCCAAGACGATAGCGCAGGGCACTAACCACTACGCTGCCACTCCCCCACGTATATATACACAGGCAAAGATTCGCCCGTGTAGCCTTTGTCAGACGATTGGAACCAGCGCTGTAAGCAAACGCCTAGAAAGGCCAACACGGCACAAGACGGGTGGTGTGGCCGGAACCACACCCGGCCGCCTTTGTGGCGATGGTGATACACTGCACCGGTTACTCGTTTGAGGTTGAGTCGACCTAGTGAAGACCCAGGACCGGCTCAGATAATCGTCACCGGTTTTGGCCCTGAGCGGGAATCGAATTCGGGCGGCTGGGTTAGTAGCGCAGCGCGCCAAACAACTGCACAGACACACACCTACACACACACACCCACACGCAACACGTGTCTGGCACTGTCACGGTCCCGATCGGCGAATCGTGTGTGACCGTCACGACCACCCCCCCCGTTAATTCGCCGGCTTCATTTCGTAGGATTTCATTACACGTGCGTTGTTTATACTTGCAATCGTGGAACTTGCCTTCCCCCCGCCGCCCCCCCTCCCCCCCCCCGGCCGAATAAGAGAGCGATTGTTATTGGGGAACAACAACACGAATTAATTTAAAAAGCGCCATGTCGTCTCGAGAGCACGCGTTTATCCGAATTAAAATCTGGCGAGGAATTGAGGAATACCTGGAAATGAGCGTGCGACGTGGTGGATAATCCCCCCCGTTGTTCTCCCTCGGAGCCACCGTGCACTCTTGTTTACTGGCGTCGGTTTTGCCGCTCCTCTCGGGGCGTTACCCGAGGCTCCGCGATTAATAACAATCATAATAATAACAACAGCGTTTTTTATTTACCAGGGCAAGTGTCAACCGAGTCCCAAGGCCCATTCAACGCTTTCCAGCTAAGCTTGAGAGCATTAGCACATTAGCTGTGTCCGCTGCGTGCGTGCGTGTGTGTCCGTAGCGCTGGGTCACGACTCAGTGGGGAGCGGTAACGCAGCAGTTATCGCGCTGTGCTACAGCAGCTATCGCACTGCGCCACGAACTCGGCGACCCAGGTTCGATTCCCGCTCACGGCCAACACCCAGTGAGGGTTATCTGAACTGGTCCTGGGCCTCCCCTAGGTCGACTCAGCATCAAATGATGAGTACCTTGGTGCGATGTGTAAACATCGCCACTTGGGAGACAAAGACGGCCGTGCGTGGTGCTGGCCACCCGCCTCGTTGTGTCCCGTTGCGGCCTTTCTAGGTGTTCGTTAACAGCACTTGGCTCAACAGTGTTACAGGCTGGGTCACGATAACTTTTGTGAAGATGATATCGATGACTCGCTCGTGCGAGGGTTTGTGTGCCTGTCCCAGGGACGTGGCCGACAGTAAATGTATTTGGGTGCCCGTCACTCCGGAACAGCGTTGGACGACCGTGCTTACATTACCAGAGAGCATGTTTTGTTATTATGTTCACCACACGTACTGCGTGTGGTCAATGCAGCAACTTGAGTCCTTGCCAGAGGTTTCTATTTGGTGTTTGAACATCTTAATGTAACTCCTGTTTTGTCACCAGAAAAGGGGTAAAAAAAAAAACCCTATTCCTAATTTTATTTCACGCAACTGCGATCGTTTGACGGCTGTCATCCTTCAACTCGGAGTGAGGCTGAGGTCTCTGTGGGGTCAGCCACGGTGAGAACCCACGAGCAGACCGACGGCAACGGTTAACGTTGACGCCGCTCCGCCCCGATGCGGAGGCCCGTGGCAAACAAAAAACCGGAGTGAAGTCAAAAGGGATTTGATCCATTACTTTCATTGTTTTTATTTCTCCCCGAAAAGATGATGATCTTCTGCTCAAACGCACGTCGAGGAATGAATTTGCGTCCCATCATCGTCGCCTGATCGCAGTCTCCACAGAGGCAGTGGTGGAAAGTCCACATTCCTATGACAGCGAGGGGGTGGGAGGATGGGGGGGGAGTCTATCCAATGAACAACCTCCGCTGTTAATTTCCCGGTAACCAATTTATCGACCCCCCGAAAAGGATGATGGCCTCGGCCAACTCACCCAACCAGGATTTGACCTTTCGATTGCGAAGCCCGCCCACTCTGCACGCTGGGGACCACCTCCTGGCCTGCTTGCATTCTACCAACACTAAGACTTAAGACTAAAAAGAAAAAAAATTCTCAGCGAGTGAACACATCCCTGCTGTATGGCAGCCCCCCCTGCGTTTCGTAAAAACGGAGCAGCCCGGATGCAAGCAACGTCTGTTGCAAGCAACAACAACCGTCGTGGTTGCGCTTTAGGGTTCACTCAGAGGCAGCGGGGTTGGGGGGGGGGCGGCCTTGTCCAATCATGGCCTTCGCCGCTCGACGGCCAAATCCTCCCCTTGACACGGAGAGGCCACCGCGGGGCCTCGCGATTTACTCCCGGCGTCAAGTTTTTACCAAAGGCCGTGCCCTCCGAGGCCGGGCCTTCCCGGCGGATTTCGAGCGTGGCCACGAGAGATGTTGCTGCTGCTGCTTGTAGTGATAGCCTGGATGCAAAAAAACTAAAAAATGTTTACTGGCAGAACCTCACGATTGTGTAAATCACTTGTTACGGTTATGTGGCAAGCGGCGAGAAACACGGAATGCCTTCGGCGAATGCCCAGGGGGAAGTTTAGCGGGCGTCCAAAACGGGTGGCTTTAAACGTCCAGGATGCATCATTGTGCACATGTTGGTGCTCTACCTCGGCACAAAACAGATCAAGCTGGCTCATGTGCTGGTACACACTGTGCCTCCAATGCGCAACTCCCCTATTGAATATATATTTTGAGAATTGAGGGGGGGGGGGGGTCTCTGTGTGAAAGTGAAATGTAGTGTTTTTTTTTATATATAAAAACAAGGACGCATAGAAGGGTCGTGGGGTCGCGACGGGGCGGAGAGTGGTGGCGCCATTTTTGTCAGCGCGCCACGCAACGGACTGCCAAGTTGGATCCCCAGCCGCAAGGTTGACAACGTCGGTGGGGTGGCGATGTCCGTGGTGGTTCCTATGGGGGGGGGGGGGGTATTTGATACGCTCCCAAACCCCGTTTGCCAAAACCCACAGCACGACTGACACGGCCAGCAATGTTACGCAAGTAACATTATCGGCCAGCAATGTTAAGCAAGTAACATTATCGATGTTATTTACATGAAAAAAAATATTATATGAAAGTGATTTATCTCTGCGGTGGCCTCGTGCTCCGTTCACGGTCAGAATGGGGCATCCTGTACCCCGCGTACCGTTCGCTAGTTATTGTCGCGTAGTGATAACAGAATGTAAAGCCGCGACGACTTAATGGACCGACTTCGCCCGGGGTTGATGACTCGGGACTCGAAACTAAAACTAAACTCAACTAAAAAGTATTTTTATTTTACCGGGTAAGGCCCACTGAGCTGCTATGTAGCTATCTTACAGAAGCGACATTGGCCACCACCAACGAAGTGGCTTGTCATCGTGCGGGAAATTCATAGCAGCGAAATCCTCTAACTGCGTGTTTCTAAATGTGGAGGGAAAAACCGAAGGACCCATAGAAAAATCCACGCCACCACAGGGAGAGAGACTCCAAATATACAGCAGCAGGCGTTGGGGTCGGGATCGAACCCACGACCTCTTGTAAGCCAGGCGAGGTAGTTAACATCTCCTAGCCACCGCGGCGTCCATTTCAACCTCCCGCACACCCCGCCTTCCAAAGGCGGGAGACCCCCATCGCCAACCCCACGCCCGTCACTTCCCGTCCAGCGGCACACGTGGGAGGTTAGATTAGTCGAGCGACGGACCCTGACAGTCGCCGACGCGATCGACATGCCCGGCGAATCGATAGCCCAGCTCGGTGTGAATCAAATGGATGGCTGCGTCGATCCCCCCCCCCCACACCCTAGGATCCGGAATCCCGTGATTTGAAACGGCGTGACTCTGCATTAACGCTTTTTTCCACAACCCTCTCATGCCAGAAAAAAACACAACGCAAAATATATGAAATCTAATAACAGTGAGAAGAGAGAAAAATAACTATTCCTTGGATTTATTTATTCACTCTCCCCCTACGGGGCCCTGTGTGATTCATTATTTACTTGCATTATAAGTTGACGAAATAGAGGTCAATAAAAAATAAAAAAATTTGAGTAACAACAATGGCAATGAAAAAAACCCAACACCGATGTTGAGACTCCCACGCTTTGGCGGGCGCCGCCGAGTGGAAGGGTTTCCCCCGAGAGAGGGGAGAGAGGAGCCAGCGAGCCGGCGAGCCGGCGAGCTTGGCTGGCCGCGGGAGCGGAGGCCGGTCGGTGTCTCGGCCGGCCGGTCACTGTGGGAATCCGCGCCGTCACCAACTTCCCGGAAAGCGGTCTTCACGCCGTCGGCAAAGCAACTCCCAATTCGCGAAGGTGCTCGCCCCAGCTGCCCCCCCCCCACACCAGACTTTGAAACGAAAACAAAAAAACTTAAATTGCTAAAATATAATTACAGAAAAACATTAGAACCCTGCACATTTTTTTCGAACGAATATTCTCTGGCAGATGGGCCTAGGTTTTTCCCTCCGCATTTAAAATCAACATGACGCGTTTCAAGAGCGTTTGGCTGTTATAGATTTCCACGCGATAAGCCACTTCGTTGAGCTTTCGTTTGTGATGGCCATGTCGCTTCTGAGAAAGAGCTATGCAGCCACAGTGGGCCTTGCCCGGTGAAATAAAAAGTTAGTAAACAGTTAAACCGGTTTGAGGCTCCGCTCCCAACCCACTTCCACCCACCGCCTCGCTGACCGGCGTGGTGAAGTATGCCCAAACAACTCCCGTGACCGACAGGGTTTTCGTCCGGCAGACGATTGGCGAAGGGCTGTACGTGTTTATGTACAGCGACGAGCAACATGAAGATGCCTCTCGGAGTAATTACACCGAGCAGGTTGGCTGAACTGGCTTGTTGACAGTTTTCTGTATCCGCACATACAAATAATATATTGTTTTTAATTTATTTGTCATCTATCAGTCTATGGGCTTTCCAAGCTAAAAATCCAGCGTCATTTGGTTTGCCAAGACATAGTCGGGACCAGCTTTGTCATATTTACGCCTCCTCAGCAGAAGCAGTGAGGCTTTCTTGAACAAGGACTGCTGGATTGCACCGATGTTATTGGTGGGAACACCCCCAATTTGGAGCTTGTACCCCGTGGCGTTTGGGGGGGGCGATCCACCATGCATAACAGGTGTTATAGGTTGCCACGGGGCTACCTTGTGGAAAGCACAGCAAAGTCTGTTTGCTGTACTGTACTTCCATGCTTCCCTGCACCTTCAACCAACCCGGCCCTGGGCAGCGTGGAGAAGTATGGTCCGGTAACGCCGGTGACCCGCACGGCGTGGCGGAAGGCCCTCCTCCAGCAGCGGATGACAACCTGATCTAATTTTATATTTATTCGCGCAGATCGCCCTCACTCGAGGCGCTTGGCATGGCTTTAAGGCAAACGGTGGCAGTAATGGAACGATTTCGGTGGCACGGAGCGTGATACACGGGTTGTGGAATGAGTGACCGCGGTAGAGGGGTTACTTGGGGATTTCCGAAAGGGGAAGGGGGGAGGGGAGATGGCCAAGATAGAGGGGGGCACGTAGGGATCACGCAAGGGTCGGGGAGGGACGGGGAGGAGCGCAGAGGGGCGAGGTGAGGGAAGAGAAAGAGAATGGGCAGCCGAGAGAGAGGAGGTGGTGAGGCTTCAATAAGGGAGGACTCAGCCTGTACCAGCAAATCAACCGTGGACTGGTGGAGCGGTTTAGCGCTGCGCTACGAATCCGGCGACCCGGGTTCGATTCCCACTCGCGGCCAAACATCGGTGACGGATATCTAAATCAGTCCTTGGCCTCCCCGACGTCGACTCAGCCTCAACTGAGTACCTGGTGCGGTGTGTAGTAAACATCGCCACTGGGGAGACAAAGGCTGTCGGGCGTGGTGCTGGCCACCCACCCCCCCCGTTCCCCCCGGGTGTGCCGTGCCGGCCTTCAATAGTTGCTACACGCAAACAGCACTTGCCCCAAGAGTCTGTTACGGGCTCCACGGGGGATCTTTGTCTTTTGTCTGCGTCTCTCTCACGCAGGACCTCACGGCGCTGATGGTGCATGAGCCCAGAGCGAGGGACGGGGGCAGCACCGAGGGCCTGGAGGCCCCGGGAGCCCCCGAGGTGGAGAGTGCCGGGGATGCGAGCGACGTGGAGGAGAGCGACTACCAGAGGCTCCAGCTGATGCAGCTCATCCCGTACCTGTGCGAGAAGCTGGGCCACGGAATCCTGCAGAGAACCACTCAGGTGAGCGTGGCTACGCGTGTGTCCGTGCGTGCGTGTGTCCGTGCGTGTGCGTGTGTCCGTGCGTGTGTGTCCATGCGTGTGCGTGTGTCCGTGCGTTTGTGTGTCCGTGCGTGTGTGTCCGTGAGCATGTCCAGCGGGCACAGCTGGTGCGTCTGCCAGTCTTCTCCGTTAGCCCATGGCACCTGGGTCTGTCACGTGAGCTCCTGCCAGCAGCGAGCCTGCGACACTTCACGTGACCTCAGGGTGCACCTAGCCTGGCACGAGCACTTTTGAAATGTTACCGCCACTTATTAGCGAATGGAAACTGTTGTTGCTGTTGCGTGTGAGTCCCTGTCAGCCAGGTGTTGGTGCTTGCAACACAACCCCTTTGTGCGCCGTGCCGGCCTTCATAGTCGCTCGCTAACAGCACTTGACCCACCAGTCTGTTAAGGCTATACGGGGGATCTTTGTTTTGTGCATGGGGAGCCAGCCGCACAGTGCTCTACAAACTCGGTGACCAGAATTCGATTCCCGCTCACAGCCAAACATCGATGACTGATATCTAAATCGGTCCTGGGCCTTTGTCCATTTTCCGGTCCGTGTGTGTGCGCATGCCCGCCAATTCATCTTGCAACATTACACAAATTAAGCCTCCAATGCGAACCAAATCCACCTGTCTTCCAGCAGGGTCACGATAATCTGGCCTGCCCGAGCACCTTGGCAGCTTTCGACGTACGGATCACAAAAAACACACGGGGGCCAACTGATAAAGAAAACGGAGCAAAAATCCGTCTAGTGCACAAAGAAGCGTGGAGAGAGGCACACACTTGGAGGAATGAACCTTTGTACGGGTAAAGAGGAACACGCGGCTCGGAAAACATTCGCAAGTCGGAGACGTCGCGCTGAATGTTAAGAAAAGTTCACCGCGCTTGGCCCCTTGATGTATTGCCAATTTGAAAGGCGCTTAATGAAAGCGAGTTTGTTGTTGTTGTTGTTACTGCTGCTCGTCACGCTCAAACGACAGTCGGCGGTCGAAACAAATGACGGAGCGCAGAGCGAAAAGGGGGGGGGCCAATGGGGCAGAGAGAGCGACGGACGGCCCCCCGCCCCCCCCCCACCCCCCCGGCCTCCCCCCCCCCCCCCACCACCACGAGGTCGGCTCGCGTGCAAAAAACCCGCACGGGGCCTCGAAGTTCCCGTTGGCTATAATCCGCGGCCTTGCGGACGAATCGGTGGCGATGGCCCGACCGTGGTCGGGCTCTCCGGCGGTCGCGTGGGGGGAAGGGCGGCGGGCACCGCACGTGGGCAACCGCCGCGACGGGCACGTACGCGCACGTGCGCACGGCCGCTCTTTGGCACGTGCGAGTGTGCATTGTGCGAGAAATGAAAGGGACGCGAGGAGCGAACGCGCAGCGGGGCCCAGCTGTTCGGCATCACGTCGGGCCCGGGAAAACAAATGTCCACTGTTTGTTGGGAGCATTTAAAAACTCTCCTGGGGATCCCCCCGCCCCCCCCCACCCCACCGCTCGCAAATCACGCGTTTACTCATTACGAACGACGTCTTTTGGCCCCGGAGTAAAATATCACTCACGAGAGCCCCCGTCGCAACGCTTATGGTTACACAGCGCTATTGTGTTACGGCACCGCGAGTCGGCTCCGGCGGCGCTTGCGTTGCTCTCTGCTCGCGTTCGTGACGTGGGTCTCCCCCCCCCCCCCCCCACATCAATCGCCCCCCCACCACGACTCCGCGCTCGAGAGGGATTCCTCTGCTCTCTCTCTCCGCTCGTGCGATTACATCATCCTCTCCTCCTCCTGCTGAGGCCGCTCCGGGTTTATTTACGCTTGATTAGCGCCAAGCGGCGCGTACGTTGGACACCGCCGGCGGGCTGTGAATGGCGCGCATTGTTGCCGGCCGGCCGGCGCGTGCGAGAGAGAGATGGAGAGAGGGAGGGAGATGGAGAGAGGGAGACAGAGAAGGAGAGAGAGCGACTTTTTGACTTTTAAACAACTTTTATTGCCGCCAGTAGCAACAGCACTGTAGGCGATTCCGATACGAAATCCACAAAGTCACTAGCAACAAATAGCACAAACACTTTAAAACCACGTGCTGTGGCGCTAAATGCGCCACGCACAACACAAAACAGTCACGTGGTGGTGGTCATCACGCACGCCACGCTGACGAGCGAGCACTTTAGAAGGTGAAGATGAGGGTGCCGTTCACGCTGGTACAGAGAGAGCCCTTCAGAGAGAGGGAGAGAGATTGAGAGAGACATTGAGAGCGGGAGAGAGATAGAGAGTGGGAGAGAGGGAGAGAGAGATGGAAAGGGAAATTGAGGCAAGAGAGAGAGAGAAGCAGACTTTTTGACTTTTAAACCACTTTTATTGCTGCCAGCAGCAGCAGCAGCACTGGAGCCGATTTCACAAAGTCACCGGCGACAAAATAACCAAACACAAAAAAAAGCCACGTGCTGCGGCACGTGGCGGCGGTGGTGGCGGTGCCGGCGACGTCTGACATATTTCTCCACCGCCTTTTTACGGGGACACGACCGCCCTGTGACGTCTGCGCGCGTGGCGCAGGAACAGAGCCCTCGTCGTCCGTTCGCTCCGGAGAGTTTCGCGAAGTTTCTCGAGGAGCTCTCACGTAACAGTCGAACTGAGCGCAGCTGGAATTAAACCGAATTCAGCTAATAGCCCAATTGTACATGACGGCTCATCCCTTTATAAAAAATATTTTTTTACAATTTATGGCAAATAAAACAGTTGCGTTAAGATGTTAAAACACCAAACTGAAAGCTTTTCCAAGGAATCATGTCTGCATTGACCACATATCCTTGTGGTGAAAATGCAAACACAATAAACACATGCTCTGGTAGCATGTGATGCATTGTCTTAGAGACAGCAAGAAAGAGACGGGCTGAGACCCGGATTTGAACCGAGGTCCTCTGCGGTTGCGGGTCACAGTGCCTCTTGAGCCACCGCCCTGCCACCCCGGGGAGTCGACAGCACGGAGGCCTGGGGTGAAGGGAGCCGCAGGGGGCGGCAGAGGAGAGAGAGCGACCTCCCATTTAACGAAGGTTCACGGTGGACTTCTGCAGAGAGCCTTGGTGGCCGGAGAAGAGATTGCCTTGGAGGGGAGTGGAGTGAGATGAGAGGGGAGGAGAGTGCGTGGAGGGGAGTGGAGTGAGATGGAGAGGTAGGAGAGTGCGTGGAGGGGAGTAGAGTGAGATGAGAGGGGAGAGGTAGGAGAGTGCGTGGAGGGGAGTGGAGTGAGATGCAGAGGTAGGAGAGTGCATGGAGGGGAGTAGAGTGAGATGAGAGAGGAGAGGTAGGAGAGTGCGTGGAGTGGAGTGAGATGAGAGGGGAGAGGTAGGAGAGCGTGTGGAGGGGAGTAGAGTGAGATGAGAGGTAGGAGAGTGCGTGGAGGGGAGTGAGATGAGAGGGGAGAGGTAGGAGAGAGTGTGGAGGGGAGTAGAGTGAGATGAGAGGGGAGAGGTAGGAGAGTGCGTGGAGAGGAGTGGAGTGAGATGAGAGGGGAGAGGTAGGAGAGTGCGTGGAGGGGAGCAGAGTGAGATGAGAGGGGAGAGGGAGGAGAGTGCGTGGAGGGGAGTGGAGTGAGATAAGAGGGGAGAGGTAGGAGAGTGCGTGGAGGGGAGTTGAGTGAGAAGAGAATGGAAATGAACAAAAGCTGTTCCGCTGTTCGTGTCCTCGTAAAAGTCGGACCTCTTCGCCTCCGGAGTTCAGGAGGTTCTCTACGCCGACTCCATCAATCCGGAGACGAATGTCGGCTGCTGACGGACGCGGCGCACGCGGCCGCCTTCGCACGTCCACCCCTCGTCCACCCCTCGCCCACCCCTCGCCCACCCCTCGCCCACCGGCGTCTTTGAGATTTAACGAGAGGCCAAAACGCCGTGAAGTCATTTCGCTCGGGGGGGGGGGGGGGGGGGGTGTGGGAGACACTGCCGCCGTGCAACGGTCAGCAAGCGATCCAAGAGGTCGCAGGTTCGACTCTGTCCACCGGCGTCGTAGTTGGTACGACCGTACACGTTTCTTAAATACCCCTCACCCCCCCCCGTCACCATGCACTCACAACCAGAAGCTCACGTTTGCATACCTCTCTCTTCCAAGTAAAGGCCGATGAGCCGAGAAACTCTCGTTCAAGGGCAGCTCCCTTCGCCAAGCCGCATTGATCAGGTCAGGCAAACAAATACCGCCCCACCGCTCCCGGCACCTTCACCGGTGTGCGACAGGGCACGCCGGTCCCACGCGTTGCTCCCCACGCCGCTCTCACACCTTGGGTGCTCCCGGCTGAATGTTCCACACCGGGATCTCGCGTCCCAAGATTTCTTCCCTCTCTTTCTTTATCCATTTCGTCTCCTTTCCTTATTTTTTAAAACTCTTTTTCTCTTTTTTTATATTTTTTCTATTCCTTTTCTTTTTTTTATCTTTTCCTTCTCCTTTTTCTCTTTTTTTCTCTTTTTTTTCTCTTTTCTATATATTTTTCTCTCTTCTCTTTTTCTCTTTTTTTTCTCTTTTCTTTTTATTGTTCTCTCTTTTTCTGTTCTTTTTTCCTGTTTTTATTTCACAATTTGTTTTCTCTCTTTTGTTTATCTTTATTTTTTTATAAAGTTTAAACTATTTTTTCTATCTTTTTTCCCTCTTTTCTTTTTGTTCTCTCTTTCTCTCGATCTTTTTTCCTATCTTTGTTTCTCTTATTTTATCTCTTTTTAAAAATATTTTTCTCTCTTTTTCTTTCTCTTTTTTTATCTTTTTTTCCCCAAACAAGAAAATTGGCTGAGCAAGGTCCGGCCCAAACCCACTGACCCCCCCCCCCCCCCACACACACACCACTCTAAAACGTGAACGCTTTAACGGGTAAGCATCAGCACGTTGGCGTTCTACTGATTGAGATGAAGCTAAGATGAGAATGGAACCACGCAGAGGAACCAATCTTGAATCTGAATCTCGTATTTGGACTGCAAGAGGAATCCGATGAGTTATGAAGCTCTTTTATCACCAGATGA